AATGATATCTTGATAGGTGATATTTACAATATACTCTTATATTGTTCAAAAAATGTTATGACATTTATTGGTAAATGTTTGACACGACAATCACAATATGAATAATATTGATGCAATATTGTATCAGTAATCAAATTTTAACCTATGACGTGCTCGCAAAAGAGAGAGAATATTTTATATATTCCTTTTTTCTCTCTCACAATACTTTGACAGAGTAAGGTTATGATTAGACTCTTTGTAAGAACTTTAGTTTTACAATATCGTAATCCTTGCATATATTAAAATATCACATTTTATATACGAGAAACACTTAAAATATAATTTCACATTTGTGTATAAAAATATTGCACAACTGAAATATAATGCAAACATTAGACTTCTAATATAACATGTTATATTAAAGTTATGTTGCTATTATATTGTTTATGTAACTTAATCAGTAAATAACATAATAACATAACAGTTTTATAACATAGTTATATCGCAGTTATAAAGGAAATTAAGTAACCTCAATATTAATAATGTATAATAGCAGTTATATTACATGTTACTCCTGTGTTATATCACAGTTATGTTCTGTGTTTGCTGGGTAAATAATTTAAAAAAAAAAAATCCGATTCCCTACAATACACAATATCTTTCCTATTAAATACTTACCCGACATCTTCCTAATTGGTATCTAAAAGTCTTATGATTCACGTAACTGATATCCCGTGTGGAGAGTCTCCGATTCTTTAGTTCAGTCTTAACCCAGCCCTCGTACTGCAACGACTTAGAGCAGTCCTCAAGCGGTAACTCTCTCTTTCTGTATAGTCATAGAACTAATAAAGAGTTCAACCACGTGTCGAGTTAGATTTGAAAGTTATCATTATTGTTCTTTCCAAATTCTTATATTACTGTGTGCCTGAGGCACACGTAACAATACGCAGCCGATTAATCCAAGCTGTGGATACTCAGCTATCCGATCCCCTGGAAATTCGTGGATTCGCAGATGCCGGACACACCAGTAACTCGGACGTAGATACGTTCCACATACACGTAATATTACAGTAATATCACAGTAATTTTGCAATATCCCAAATAGCCAAACCTGTGCGAGCAGTTTTTACGCAGAGTCTGTCAACAGTGTCTGTAGACAAAATGGCAACAGATTGTACGCAGAATCTGTTTTGACGACAGATTGGTGACAGACTGCGCGCAGAGCCTGTCGACAGACTGAGAGTAGATTGCGCGAGTCAAGATAATTATATTGTGCAATAATTGTACACATATACACAATAAAAAACAATTTTTACTTTTTAAAATTGTATTACAAATTTTTTATAAAAAAGCAACAATAATAGAAAAATAACGAGTATAAGTATAGAATAGTACAATGGTTAAATGGCCATTTAAAGGCGTACATATGCTATCCTTGGTAAAAATTGTTTTCATAATTTTTCATACAATTTCTCAAATTATTATTGTTTTTAATGTTATATTATGATTATATCATTAAATCTAAACGATTTGACCGTCATGCAATAAATACTGAAGGCAGCAGCACTGAATAAAATATTAGTCTCGCTATGTAAATAACTTTTACAGAATTTTTGTGATAGTTAATTTGAAAATATATAATGCTTTGATTTTGATAAAATTTAATACAATCTGAACTGGACCATTGACCAAATTAATTTGCACATGTAAAAGCACAGTATTTTATTAGCATGATGAAAAAATGTCATGATCTACTGTTTTATTGCAGTAATTTTCTATACAGTCCTTGGTAGAAAATTAATTTCGAATTATCGTGCCGATCTTTCTTATATTATTTATACGCTAAACAGTTTCGTCTATATTTTGCGGTTTAAAAGGCGAACAAACTCTATGATTTTTCTTCCTTAAACTTTAAGATTTTTCGAACTCTAAGATTTTTCTTCCTTAAACATATCAACACATGTCATACATGGAAGCCGCTATATTCTTGCAAACAACCGAAGTTTGCGCATCTTTTACTAGAGGATCTCTATTGTTTCCTTTCCCAATGTTGCTACCAAGTGGTGGAACACTGTACTAGTTACACGTGACTGCTTTCACAAGGCCAACAGTGTATTGTTCTTGGCAGAAAAAATAAAGTATAAAACAATATAGTATGTCCCTCGTATTTTATGAGTATTTATGATAAAGCACTTATTCTATGAGTAATTACGAAAAATTATGAGAAAATTTTCTACCAAAAATTTAATTGAAGAACCTACGAAACGACAGGCTCTGCACACAATCTGCCGCCAGTTTGTCGTCAGAGTCTGTTCACAGATCCTGTCAACAGTCTGACGGTAGATTGGGGACGCAGATGTCTATGGATCTGTCGACAGATTTTGTCGCCAATCTGACGTCAGTCTGCGCACAGATTGTTTACTGGGTCCTAACCCAGATAGAAATGTGTGATGATCATGTTTCATCACAATGTGACTTTATACTATGACTCCAATTTGATATTTTTTTAAAGATCATTACGTGATCTCATGACATGAGATGCATACAAATGATGTACAAATTACGTTGCAAATTCTTGACATGATGTTGATTATTATTATTAATCTTATATTATTGATCTAATATTATTATTAAATCAGGTATTTTTGTGACATCATAACATATCTACATTCTGAGGCGCATATGAGCCCGCATCGGTGTCTATTCTTGTCCTCATATCTTGAAGATACATGAATACAATATGAGCTCAGAATGAACACATTTTCCTATTTGGGAAGTAGCAAGATAATGTCAAATAACATTTTCATTACGTCATAAAAATGTTATTAAATTTTATTAAATGTTATTTAAATGCTATTAAAACGTCATTTAATGTTACTTGGCACGTAATATATCGTATTGAAGTACGAATAATATATTTCAAAGGTAATATATTATTTTGTAATATAACAAATATCTTTCTTGTTAATATTATTCACAAGAGGAATTTCCTTTCTTCGGGTCACTGATTTTACCGAACTTTTGTAGGAATATAATATTGATATAGAAATAACAAACGCTATTCGGAGACTATGCAATTTTCAACCGTTTACGAGAAATTGCGGTTTGAAATTTAACAAGTTCCTTTAGTTCCATTGTAGTAGGACAGGGATAGAGCAGCGGCATAGCGCAACGAACGAGGCGCCACACTATAAGGCCCGATCTACAATAGATGGAGTAAGGAGTAAGACGAAATGGAAATAATTTATTTCGCTTACTTCCTTACTCCAGCTCTTTACTTCAGCTCTTACTACTTAATTCAGGCTTATTCCGTGTAATGTATACGGGCAAACTTTTAATGGAATAAGGGAGTAAGCGAAATAAATTATTTCCATTTCGTCTTACTCCTACTCTTACTCCTTAATCCATCTATTGTAGATCGGGCTTAAAGTTTGCCCGTCTACATCACATGGAGTAAACCTGAATTAAGTAGTAAAAGCTGAAGTAAGGAGCTGGAGTAAGGAAGTAAGCGAATAAATTATTTACATTTCGTCTTACTCCTACTCCTACTCCTTACTCCATCTATTGTAGATCGGGCCTAAGTCTGCACGTTAAATGTTCCGAGCTGGTTCGAGCCGAATTTGATTTAGTTTTTTTTTATACAGTTCTTTACTGATGCGAATAAAAATATGTAATATATAAAATAATACGCAGACAAATCCTTTATATAATCGAACATTTTTATTACAATAATGACTGTGATATATTACAGTAATGTTACTGTGATGCGTTTTCGCGGACATTGTAATATTACTGTAATATTTCAGTAATATTACAGTAATATTTCTGCTACACACTTCATTGTAATATTGCAATGGAAATTATTGTGATATTATTGTAATATTACGTGCTATGTGGGGTGATTTCATCCTTTCGATCCTACGTCTCGTGGATACGAGAGTGTAAAGTCTTCCTTACTGACCTGTCGTGGATTTGCGACTGATCAGTTATTAAAGAGCCTCACGACAGCTACACCGAAATTGTAAATATAAACCGTACTCGTCATATAGCCTCAGCGTGCCTCTCACTACACTCAGCCACGTGCCACGACTTCACGAGGCAAGTTAAATACCGAATATATCGAAAGCGAAGACATTATCGAGCCGAAATCAGTTATCATTACGAACAACAATACCCAACGTTTGTAAAAAGTCTCCGCGAGCGAGACACAAGCAAAGATATCATATTATACTTTATATCTGACACGGTAAAATAAAAGACTAAGAATTGGATGAAAGCAAAAACTGGCTATTTTCTAAAACTTGCTTCCGCCCCCCGACTCTTGGAACACCGGCGAACATAATTCGGTCACAACCAACCGTTTCAAAACTAGTTTTAAATACAGTATTACATATCTTGCTAATAGCTTCTGATATTGCATTTGTTTTATCTCACAATGACTGTCAATAGCCGTTGATTGCGTTTTATGTGCGGTAAATATTAATCGCCGTTCTAATTATCTCTTTATAGATTACATTATGAGCCCCCATCGAAACGGGTGTACCGCTTATGAAGAGGCGTACAGAAAATCGCTGGAGTCTCCGGAAGAATTCTGGAGTGAGGTCGGACTGCATGTTGATTGGAGTAAACCTTG